AGCAAGGGGAGTCCAAACGTCCACAAAAGTAAACGGTAGTCCCTTTTCCCGAATTCTAAGTTACGGTTAAAGTACATCAGCAGAAACGCATTAATTGCTACAATGTTAACCAGAAGGTTCTGAGCTGTGATAAACTCGGCCAACATCAGTCCGTAAAACTGACAAAGAGCTTTAGGATACACGTGATCTCTGGTGACCAAAATGTGAAAATGGTCTGTAAAGTGTGCCAAGTTGAAGGAACCGTCACATATAGCAAGATAAACAATAAAGCGCTCACTTTTCGTCCATTTGAAGAAAGTTTTGAAGTTGCTTGTCTTAAAAGACAAAACCAACACGGTCACGGCTGATATGAAACTACAAGTAATGCATATGAGGGCTGGAATGTGTAAGGAATAAAACAAATAGGAGCCTCTTCCATAAACATCCAGATCATATCCGTTGTGCTTCGTATTGCTGTCCACACTCATGTTAGACATCGTGTCACGATTCCTTTCCTTGAGTTGGAAACCCGTATAACTTGGGGCTTTTTATACAGTGATGTTTCTATTGATTAACATCCCCTAGATGCCATAGCTTCGTCATCTGCGTTTAATTTAACACAAAAACACCATTTCAAAATATACTCTTCAAAAAAAGAAACGCATAGTAGAATTTTTGTGACACATTGAACATAAAGATTATTTAGTAAAATGATGCATTGATAAAACAGAAATGTGGTAAGCAACAGGAATACTATCTAAATGTCATAATTACTCAACAATTTTAAAATTATAGTCAGTTTAAGACCATTAAAGATCAATATCTGGTATGCCCCCCGCAGACACAAATGATAGCCACAAACGGCATCTAATGGAAGCAAACGTGTGTAATAAAAACTGTATAGGAATACTCTCCCACTCCAAATGTAGAACTTTAGTCAGCTTTTGCAGAGTCTGGGGATGCAATTGTCTTTGGCAAATCATATCAATCCATTTTGTCCAATGCTGCTTAATTTGGATTAAATCTAGCGATTTAGATGACTGTGACTGAAACAGGTTGTTGTTTCTTTGCAAGAATAGGTGTATCAAACGAGCCATATGTGACTGTGTATTGTGAGATTGCAATACGGCTCTAGGATGCTGCAAAATTGAATGGGTATGTGTAGGTAGAACATGGTTAGAGTACCTTTTTCCATCAAAGTCCATTAAATTCGAACCAAATCAATCTTACGTTCTTATAATACCATTTTCCATATCATTACACTACCACCACCAACTTTTTTAACGTCCTGGAGGCAGTTATCTATCTAACCTTCATTAAAAGGCATTAGCACTCTTAAACTTGTGAGAGGCTTTCAGATAAACATTCTGGACTAGTAGGTTCACCAAAATGTTCAACAGTGATGCTGTGGTCATACTCTATTCATCTGAGATCTTTGAAGTCGATATTTGGTGTGTTGTGGGGTCGAAAAATGGCATGAATAATCCTCTTGCAATAATTCGTAGTCAACTGAAAACGGTCTTGTGAGATGATCTGTGCAGTTCAGGGATAGCTAATGCTTTAGATGACGTCCTTGCATTACGTTCATGCAATTTGCATTATCCTCGGAAGTGATGCTGTGCTGCTGATGTCACACGTAGTCTACCATATTTTTTGCGAACATTGGGTGTTCAGTGTTAATGGTTTATGTTTTATAGGTTAGATATGGTCTGTGTGTAACATTAAAACCTCTTGCAATTGTAGATTGCGGTACCCCTGCTTCCAGTCGCCCATTTTCCTTTTTGTGCCACGCAACATTCAGATGCAGCATTTTTAGGAAACGTCATTTCTCAGATAAAACAAGATTCAAAATATCGAGAACCCCCGCTTTTGATAGCCCCTTTGTACCTGAAGGAATTGCATCGGAATTCAACAAATGAAAATTGAGATAAAAATTTTGGTGGAAATTTTGAAAAATCACGTCTTTTTGTCTGTGTGACTTGTAGAATAACTGTAAAGTTAACAATTACATTAAAAAATCATTCATTTCACTCGGATACATCGTATCCATACAAAAATAAAAGGTATGACAAAACTATCACAAATTTTCAGGGCATTGTTCCTACTATGCGTTTCTTTTTTTGAAGAGTATACATTTTCTATTTTTTACATAGTAAATTGTCATCATATTCGGTGTGTTTTCTTTGCCCTCGTACTATATGTCTGACTAATTATAACGGGAATATGTTCAAATATTCTTTTGCATTCGAAAAAAAAAACTCCACCGTGGGTAAAGGAGCTCTTATAGAAATATGTGGATTTCTACATTTGAAAAAATCCTACAAAAAATTGTAGCTGTTGCAAAACTGTATATGCATTATGGTGTAATTGAAATTGAATAACCATGCTGTTCATCCTAGGCTTCATAAAAATCCTTACAAATAAAATTAAAATACAAAGCAGGTCCCACTTCTACCAAGCATCCTTCTTAACTCTTTGCTAAATTATTAACCGGAGCAGAAGACAAACGTCAGGAATAATGTCTAACATCATATTAAAGAAATTGTGTTTACTTAATAAGACGTGGATACTTACTAGTAATAACATCAACTTTCAGAAAATGTCAAATCACAAAATTTTACAAAAATCAGTAGCATCAAAATGCTAGTATACTTTCAATACTTCATACATCCATTATTCAAGATAAATTAAAGTATTGGCTATAGATAGTTGTATATTCAATTAATGTGCACCTTTAACATTAATTTGTTAAAATAATATTGATTGTCCATACAAATACATTTGTACTCCGAAGTTGATATTAAAAAGATGTCAGAGTTTCTGATGGACAGTATCTGTGTAGTTTTCGGAGATATATTTGACGTTTTTCAGGCTTTTTTTACGATTTTGATATTTTACTTGCCAGGAAAATGTCTGAATCGGCGCCATTTCAAAATCCCTTTTACCTAATGATGGTATGTGGCATGTTTGGTTTAATCTGTAGGGATACATTCTCTTAATGCCAGGGGTCCTGAATCAACTTGTTGCACTCGACACAGAATGCTTACTTCTCCATGGCACCTATCACACAAATTATGTTTTTTTTTAGAAATCCAGTTTTTTCCCTCTGATTTCAAATTTCATGTTTTTTCTTTGAGCTTGAATACCGTTCCTAATCTCCATATGTCAGACTAAGCATATTTTAAAAGTATCTTAGTGTGAATGTTATTTATCACCTTTCTCCAAGAGCAAAACAGGGACTTTGCCATTATCTCCAAATGGGAGGAAGAGATATCAGTGAGCTCAGTTGCTCACAGTGCCTCTAGTTTTTGTTTGTATCCTCTTCCTGGTTATTGTTAACAGGCCTCTGAAGACTGGGAAATATTGTTCGACCGAGTGAACCCCAATAAGAATGTTAATCCAGGAAAAATATTTTTGTTCAACATTCCTTTAATCTACATAAACTTGCGGAACTTAAAACACTGAAAATATAATTTCACAAACGTGATTGCCCTATTTCGTGACGAAGCCCTGTATGATTGTAATTGTGCCTAAATAGTTTTGGCAAAGTCAAACATTGGAGTTTGAATACAATTAGCATCACACATTCCCTTGCATGCTGCCTTTGAGCTCAATTGTCGCGACACTAACACTGTATCCATTATAAATGTAAATGTCGATAGTGTTCACTGGACGCTGAATATTAAGTACGAGTTCCCTAAATAATTACATATAGTAGGATGAACTGAAAATATGTGTAACAAATTATGTATGCCTCTAACAAACGGAAGAGTTTCGTGTTTTTCTTTTAATTGACCACTTCTGAATACATGTGTAAGGGAGCAAGGTTTGCATATCAACCAATAGCATTTATGAACAAATATTTGACAACTAACACGGAAGTTATATTTCTTTAGAGTATGTATTAACTAGTCTTCCTCATCGATCAGAAATGTCTGAAACTGACAACAACAGTTTTCCAGTCCCCCACCCCCGGGTCCTGAGGGATGGGTATGACCTGCCTGTGTATGGTCTAGCTTCTGGGAGATTTTATGCCTTACACATACCTGCGCTGATCTGTATCTTCCTCAGCTTGACTTCGGTTATTGTAACAATTGTTCTCAGTTTCAGAAAAAAACCCAAAAAATCTTTTTTTGATTGGACTAAAAGTGAGAGATTTATTGTTTACATGGCGATTTGCGATGGCGCTTTTAACGTGTCGCATAGTTTGGACCATCTTCAAATTCTAGCCACAAGGAACCATGTATATCCCGTGACATTGTGTCAATTTTATGGTGTCATGTTGTTAGAGTTTATCACGGCTCAGAACTTAATGGTTAATATTGTGGCAGTTAACGCATTTACTCTTATGATCTTCAATAAACAGCTGAATTTTGGAAAACGAGACTGGCGACTTCTCTTGTGGATTTTTGGAGCACCTTTCGTCTTCTCAATGATAGCTCTTGCAACTAAACAGATTGGCCCTACTGGCTCAGCGTAAGTTTTGAACTTTCTCTTTCCAGGTTACAAGTGTACTTACTTTTAAGATCAAGTTATGCAAAGGGGAAGGCAAAAGGGAAAATAAAAGACGTTAATCTGAGTCTAATAATATTATTTAAAAATATATCGATAGAACTTTCAGTACATAAGCAATAGTGCTTAAACTAGACAAGATTGCTAAATTACCTTTTGTTGCATATCTTTTGTCTAACTGGCACAAGCATAATGCCATTTTGCCTTATGAAGCCTTTCTTGGTATCAAAACTAGACTGGCATTCTCTTCGCAAACCAATTTCACGAAGCTAACTGTGCACCATTTATTAGTATTTACTATGAAGTAAGTGGTTACTGGTGGTGGTCAGTGAGGTTGAAACAGCGGTGGTGTCCATGTCTCAGAAATGAAGTAGAGCGATATATGTCTAACATCTCGCCTTATAATCATCTAGTCATATGGTATCCATATACACGGTCCATCACACCTCGGATTGCCACTTTGTAGAACAATCTTTCTGAAGTCACTGCCACCAATAGAAACCTGTACATTTGATGGTCATATAGTAACATATTTAGCTAGAAGCAACATTTTTAAAATTATATATATTTTTTTCACACGTGTCTCTCCACAGAAACACACTGAAGACCTCATGACTGTCCTGTCATGCTTTTCTTTGGCCAAATGCCCATCACAAAACATGGACTTTGTCATCAAGCTCTAGGGAGCGGGGGTCTCATTTGTGAGATTGGTGAACATAATATCGGGTATCTCTAGTTTGAACGTTAAATACAAATAAAAAGTTTGGAAATGAATATATTATTTTTCTATGATGATAAGTTAGCAATTTTTTTGCTTGTGGTACTCTTATACTAAACTGTTTAAGGTGACGTGTGCTACATAGCAATTGGTGCGTAGGCCTACAAACCAGAGGCCTGTTCAGCAGAGCCGAACGCTAACCAAAATTCCTTATACCTCCAATAGAAATGTTCGCGAGCATAAGATATAACACGTACACTTTTCATCTCGTTATGATTGTCAGCCACATTAAATTTAATGTCTTAACTTTACTGCTAGTTTTAAAAAAAATATTAATTTTCTGTATTAATATTGAAAAGACACTAATAGAATGATATTTTTTCTCTTCTAGTTGCTCGTTTGACGGTGTAAATGGAAAAATGGGATCCTTTCTACTAACGACGCTTCCTCTTTCCGTCATTCTCGTTATGAACACAACTCTATACGTTTTGACTTGGATTAAACTTCGTGCTATGGAACAAATGCTGAAGAAATCACTGGGAAAACAGTCATCTGCTACTCGAACAAAGCACGCAGCAGTTCGCGCCATGTCTCTGTTTGTGCTAGCCTTCATCATTCAATGGTGGGCCATGGCTATGCGTGGGATCTGGGGGTTCGCCCAGCCAGGAGGTGTCCCCGCCGCAGTTCACCACACCGTCACCACATTTTCCAACATCGGTGGGATATTAAATCTCGGGGTTTACCTTCTGATCAGACGACAAATGCATCTACAGTTGAAATCTGAGAGTACCTCGGGCACAAAACGACCTGGGACTAAAGATACGAGTGACACGGAGTTATAGAATATTACAGATATGTTAATCATAATTAACTTTTTTTTTCATTTCTACAACTGAATTTCGTGTTCTTCTTGATGTCGTGACAGTTGGTCCCCTCTGATAGTGGGGGATATTAATTTCTATCTGCCTGTCCAACCGTCTGTCTGTCTGTATTTCTTTCAGTTTGAAACACTTTCGTTTCCCTGCGATTTCTCCAGAAGTCTTTTGGATTTTGCTATGAAATTTTACATAGCAACTCCCTATGGACTAGGGAAGACCTCTATTGATTTTTCAGATCAAAATATCAAAGATCCAGGTCATAAATTCAAAATCTATCTGTTTTAACACTTTCGTTTCTGTGGGATGTCTAGAGAAGCCTTTGAGATTTTGCAATGACATTTTATACCACAACTCTCTATGGCTTAAGGAAGATCCCTATTTATTTTGAGGTAAAGGTCAAGCAGTCGTCAATTTATACATTCTGTGTGTGTAAAATTATTCGTACGCAATAACCACTAATCAATTCATTCATTACAAGGATATTTTTTGATTGATTCAAAATCATTATTACAACAACTGTATTCTAAGATGGCTGTTAGTAAACCTGGATTGAAAAGCATTAGTCAGGTTTTTTGACAGCATATTAAAGAAATCAGGGAAAAGCATGCAAATAAAACAATCTGTCTTTGATTTGGTTTGAATATCTTTTTGATCTAATGTCTAAGTTTAAATATACAAGGATTGGGAAAATATCTCAAATAAAGAAGAGCTTTTATAATTTTATAATGTAAACCATGAAAAAACATACTCTTACACACTCGTCTTTATTTTATGTACATTTCTTCAAATACGTATATTTAGCATGGAAAGATATATGATTTTCTTTGTTTTATTCATTTATTTTTTGGGTTAAAAAACCGACTCTGTTTCGCGAAAGCGAAAGGACAATCTCATTCGTCCGTCCGTTTGTCAGTCTATTACAAAAATCTAACCTTGATCATAACTTTTGAATTAGAAGAGTTTTCATATTTCACTTGTTCATTACCTGTGAAAAATATTTTCAAAATATACTATGGTTTTCGACCTCTTGGAGTTTAACAAACATTGAAGTTTGACCTACTCTTCAAAAATTTTATCATTAAGTTAAAGAACGAGGGCGCTTTTGATTGGCATTCGGCAGGAATCAGGGCGTAATCGAAAAGTGAAAATTTTATCGACATGTCACATGATATTTTAAACATTTTTTTATATATCGGGTTCCTGTGTAACAGGAAAGGAAAATATTTTCCCGAAATTGAGCTTTGATTTGCTAAAAAAAAACCTTGAAAATTGGCCAAATCAGACATTTGGTACAAACTGGTACATTTTTAAATATTTTCCGAAAATTTTTCTATTTCTGGGTCTTCTCTCCATGATTTTGAAACGTTATTTGTATGCATTTTAATTCAAAGAAACGAATACACATTTATAAAAAATGGAGAGAAGACCCAGAGACCACGAAAAGTGAACTTTTCCCCAAAAATCCAAATGTGTGAATGTGGTTCTTCCTTCTTCTGTTTAAATCAACTATATATGTGTAGCGGTGATAGATCAGTAAGTCGGGTTACCTGTTCAATGCGCTCTAAGCGAGAAGTTTTTGGTTCGAGCCTGGCATGGGTCGTTAATTTTTTTTTCCATGCAAACAACCATTTTGTCATTTTCTTATGTATTGATGTATTAAAATGTTGAATTAGATAAATTTTGGTTCAGTTTGGTTCTCGAGCGAAATCAATTCCAATCTTCTATTCTATAATGTACGTGTACACGTATCATGCATCTATATGCATTAAATGTTTTAGGTGTTTATTTTTTGTGAAACATTACTATGTTATAGTACCCCTAGGAAAAACGGACATAAATGATACAATCTCACAAGGTCTTTCAAACTAAATGAAAAAAACCTATGGACGTGTTTGTAAAATCTGACCAGCTATGTTCAGCCAACCAAATCATGAACATTTAAACCATAAATTTTCGTACAAATGATTCCTGCAGATCACACGCTAAATGCGCCCATCTTCTTTGCAATAAAATTTGAAAGAAAAAAGATGGGACTTTTATATTACATACGTTTTATCACCTGTGTCAAAACTGTTTTAAATATATCGTTATAAATTTTGACCCCGTCACCTTAACCTGAAAGTTTGACCTATTTTTCAATAAAATTATACATGTATATCTTTCCATATAACTTTTGATTGAGAGGACACAGGGCTTTCATATTTGACATGTGCATTACCTATGACAAGATGCTTCCGCGCATGCTTCGCTTCATTTTTTTTTACATTTGACCTAATTTTCAAAAATGTTAACTTTGGTGATTACTTTGAAAATGACGTATGATAGGGTGTCCATATTTGACACAATATGCCATAAATAATGACAACCCATCCACTAAGACAACAAAAGCGGGGGTCACTATTCTTTGAATTTGCTTATTAATTTTATACTGTATTACTTCAACATATTGAATTATCAATATTCTTATGGAAAAGTGTCAAAAAGAGGTTTCAGGGATCTTCAAACTAGGGGGTCACCAATATAATTTAAATATTTTCCCAAAATAACGGCTTAGTAAAACTGAACCAATCAATAGAGATCATTACTCATTATTTAACTACTGAAGAGGTTTCAAGAATTTCAAAAGTAGGGGGTCACCAACGTTTAATACTTTTCCAAAATAACGGCTTAGTAAAACTTAACCTATCAATGCCGATCTATATTTATTCTTTGAGTTTAATATATTCTCTCAATGGAGATAAATACCAGCTATTTAGATTTAAACAAGGCAACGCTACAATAAAACTGTAACATAATTTATATGGTTATAGAGGTAGTAAAAGTTAATATCTTAAAAAAAATTATCGGCAATAAGAGTTCCCATAGAATAATATTCACATGCACACATTCATTGCATTGAGAAAGAATAATAAGCTGTAAAACTTTACATTTATATTAAAAAAAATAAAAAAACAAATTTAAATCGATTTCTTTAAATCTATGATGATTAAAATAAAATTTTACGTGCAATTGTCTGCATGCCATTTTTTCAAATTCAATTGTATACGGATGTTTCCTTTTGCCCGATCATGAGGAGGAACACACGGCGGATGTGACTGGTGTAGAACAGGAGATGCCTACTCCTCCTTGGCACCTGATCCCACCTCTGATGTTTTTCTCCTCTCCAAATGTGTTTTGTTTTAATGGACTTTTGAGTTTGACTTCTGTTCTTGATCATCACATTTCATGTATAATAATTTGATAGCTCATTACAAGTGCACCGGCCCAGAGAATTCTTCCCCGCGAATCGACGATTGTACTCGAGGTGTCTGAAAAGGAAGTAGTCTTCTTCTGATGTATAAATAAACACCGAAATTCAAAATTCCTCCAACGTTTGAGAAAGTTGTTACCAAGTGATAAATCGGGGCTGGAACAGCTTCTGGTTCTATAAAGGACCAGAGTCCGTAAACAGCCATAGCCCACCACTGGATGAGGAATACAAGCACGAATACGGACATGGCGCGCGCGGCGGCGTGCCTCATTCTGGTTGTTAACGCCTGCTTGCCTAACGTCTTTTTCAGTTCCTTCTCTTTGAGGTATATGTTTCTGAGCGTCATGCTGTAGAGAATGGAGTTGAGGACCAGGATTATCGTCAGTGGAACAGTCGTAAACAGGAAGTTAGCTACCGTTCCCTTCACTCCGTCAAAATAGCAGCTGAAAAAATCAGGATTGTAAGACATCAGGCGATAAAGTTCATAATTATTTGTCAAAAAATCCCATTTCATATGTTAAAGAAAAATATCAACGATAATCCTAAGAAAACATTGATTAAATACATTGATGATGATCTCGTTCTGCTCCTTTAGAGTACATAAAATTGAGAGAAAAATATACTTGCAATGATCCATTGGGTCCAAGCTGCCCTGCAATTCCTGCAACTGTGGCACAAATAAAAGGAGTTCCAAATGTCCATAGTAACAAGCGATAATCTTTAATACCAAAGTCAATCTGTTTGTTAAGTAATATCAGCACAAATGCATTGACTGCAATGATATTAACCATCAGGTTTTGAGCAGTTATAAACTCAGCCAGCATAAAACCATAGAACTCGCACAACTCCTTGGGATATACGTGGTTTTTCGTTATTAGAATATGAAGGTGATCCATGCTATGAGCCAGATTGAAAGCAGCGTCACAGATTGCCAGGTATACCACAAATCTCTCGCTTTTGGACCACAAGAAGAAAGTTTTGTACGACTTTTGGCGGAAGCTGAGCACCATGGTTAGTACCGCGGAAGCAAAACTGAGGAAAATACATGATAGTGCGGGAATATGGAGCGTGTAGAAATGTCCTTCGGTAAGTCCATATACCGGCAAACTATAACCATCACTCGGCGCCTCGGACCACGTGTTATTCTCCATAACAATAAATATTCTTTTTTTTTTTTTTAAATCAAATGAGTTTAATATAAACTATGAAAGGATGATTTTCGTGTCCATTGATAACTTATTTGTAACTGGTCGTCATATTAGTTTATGGAACCGCTATATGGCCAATATTGATAACATTGATAACTTCTTTATCTATGGGAATGCGGATGTAAATAGTAAGGTTACCAGGTAAAACTTGACCTCTTCGCAGGTGTTGAAAGTTTACTTTTAGCATTTATAGAAATCTGTTTCAACATTTAATTCCCTATCACAGATGATAAACTTATTTTAAAGCGTATTTATAAACCTCCGTTGCAAAGGTGAACTTTCCAGTTGTAACGTATACTCTTTATTAAACAGCCATTGTGCATCTCCTATTTTTACTTTTTGATCCGACACATATTTTGGGTTTCCCATAGCAAACCATGGACACTGCCATTCTTTCTATAATAATGAAGGGTACCCATCTCTTATCCCCAACTCCCTCTAAGCCACTGAATAAAATTTAATGATACTTTCACAGAATCTTTGTTACATAGTGCCATTGTGACCTCCTTTTTTATTTTTTGATCTGACACTTATCTCTGGTTTCCCAGAGTAAAACATGGACACCAGTGCCATTATTTATAATCATTTGGCAGGCGGGGGTTTCATTTAGTGAGCTCAGTACTCACAATACTATATAGAGAGCTCAGTACTCGCAATACTATATAGAGAGCTCAGTGCTCACAGTACCTCTCGTCATTTTGTGACGGCAGAAAATTTCTACACTTACTAATTGTTTTATTTCGTAGACAACCAGGTTAATTGACAAATTTAACTCTAACTTAAAAAAATAAATTTCAGTAGCGTAGCATCGTTTTTAAAAGGGAGGGGGCAGTCAGATAAAGAATCGTCAAATACGGGGGCATAAAAAACAAATTTCATCTAGTGAAAATAGAGACAGGCTCGTAAAGAGCTTATTGGGGGTCTAAATTGCCTGCTATACTTATGTAAAATACATGAACATAATCTCAAGAAAATGGATGCCGTAGGGTAAATATATTGAGTCCACTGAAACATGGGCCGTGATATCTTTATTTTTTATTTTGATCGGGATCGGGTTCCGTAATATCCAATGCATTGACCATTGACAACGAAGACGTTTATTTACTTTGGACATAACAGTAATTGGCCGGTCTCCAGGTATTGCATTGACAGTTCTGCACTGACAGTTGAATTGCATGTTTGCATGTGCTGCTTTTTTTCTCTGTGATTTTATCATATTATTTTGGCTCACTTGGAATTTGAGAAATCAAAATGGTAAACAGCGATTTAAGTGGCACTTAATTTGATAATTTTAAATAACTTAATCTGTTAATCATTCTTTTAATAGCTATTTTTAGATATGATGGGTTTTATTTTTTTGTTAAACTTAAATCGTGAAATTTTTCATATGCATGTTATTTGCAGAGCAAACCAATTAATTTCATTGTGTTTATGCCAATAAAATATTTGTATTTGTATGTTTTATTCATTATTGCTTTACTTTTGTAGGCAAGTTTAGTGAAATTAAAGTTCTCAGAGTTTGATTTTAAAAAAGAAGAAGATGAAGATGATGCATTTGAGAATTTCTTGCAGGTAATATATCTAATTCAATTGATTGAGGACACATCTTAAGATGTGTGTGATTCATTGTTAGATCCATATGCACTAAATTATTGGTAATAAATCAAATGACCAACTCGTTTAGATAATTCAGAATGATGCACAGTGCTTTTGATGTTGCATATGTTCCTTTCTTTTCTACATTAATATATAGACAATGTCACTGTTAGGGCTAACACAGATACCTTTTCTGTGTATTTATAGACTGTATTTGGAGTTAGATTCGTCTCTTCAAACCGCATGTGACATTTATAGTGCATCTAGACTCTGATGTCCCATGACATGTATGTAAGATGCATTACCAATGCAAAGCCTTAATAGTGCTGATTTTCAATGAATAATACATTTTATTTACTATTTATCTGCATTATATCGATTAAAGCAATATGAGCTGCATTTTTGAAAATTTAATTTAGTTTTCTGCTAAAATGTGTCATTGTGATAGATTTGTATGTAACTTAAACCTTTATGATTAATTAGACTAAAATAAAGCAGAGAAAACACATATCTGTATACAATTCAATACAAAGTTTTATTTAAGAAATCATTATTGTATAGGACGACAATAATGTAATTATACCCCCCGCAAACGAAGTTTGGGGGGGTATATAGGAATCACCTTGTCCGTCTGTCTGTCTGTCCGTCTGTCTGTCTGTCCGTCTGTCTGTGCAATCGTGTCCGGTCCATATCTTTCTTACAGAGGGACATTAGAATCTACTACTCCACATTAAGATTGCTCATAACCTAAGGGTGTGTCATGACCTTGACCCAAGGTCATTTGGGGAAGTTCAAGGTCACTGGAAGAAAAATTTCATAATTCGTGTCCGGTCCATATCTTTCTTATGGATAAACTTGGTAGGTTCTCATTTCACACAAAGATTGCCCATGACCCAAGGGTGTGTCATGACCTTGACCCAAGGTCATTTGGGGAAGTTCAAGGTCACTGGGAGAAAAATTTCAAAATTCATGTTTGACACATATCTTTTATGGATAAGCTTGGTAGGTTCTCATTTCACACAAAGATTGCCCATGACCCAAGGGTGTGTCATGACCTTGACCCAAGGTCATTTGGGGAAGTTCAAGGTCACTGGTAGAAAAATTTAATAATTCGTGTCCGGTCCATATCTTTCTTAAGGATAAACTTGGTAGGTTTTCATTTCATACAAAGATTACCCATGACCCAAGGGTGTGTCATGACCTTGACCCAAGGTCATGTGGGGAAGTTCAAGGTCACTGGAAGAAAAATTTAATAATTCGTGTCCGGTCCATATCTTTCTTATTGATAAACTTGGTAGGTTCTTATTTCACTCAAAGATTGCCCATGACCCAAGGGTGTGTCATGACCTTGACCCAAGGTCATTTGGGGAAGTTCAAGGTCACTGGAAGAAAAATTTTATAATTCGTGTTTGATACATATCTTTATTATACAAAAACTTACTTCTGAAAAACCCAGCGGGGGGTATTTTGTCCCGATTGGACAGTTCTAGTTTTGATTCAGTCGAAGCTTATAAATTGTTCTTCCATCGCAAATCTGAACAACAAAAGTTTATCAACATTATTTTTTCTGTCATTGAAATAGTTATTTACAATTTTGCAACAAAAAATTCTGACTTCGAAGTTGCAGCTCATATTGCTTTAAACCAAGACAAGTCTATTTTTTGTTGAACTTTTGTTGTTATTCTTGTGGGAACATAGCTTAACAGGACTGGTGATGCATGCGTATTTTTGGTCCAGAAGATACTGTGAAAAAAAAATCATTTGTATCAATGTGAAAGTCCAAATTTTCTATTTGCCCAGGTACATGTTGCTGTAAGAGCTTGCAGTGCGAGCAGTGCTCACTATAAACTGCAGCCCAAATGTCCCTATAAGTATATTCCCATAGGGCTGAAACTCATTGTGCACCATTTTTTTTTTTGCATTTGAGGGAACTGCTAGTTCAGTTCTGAATTAATTGTTACTTATATGAATGTTAATACTCAATTCTTAAACTAATGAAATTTGGTACAAAAATATGTATTTTGTTTTAATAAATACCTATATTGACAGGACCTTGAAGAAAATGGTTTTAAACAAATTATTGGAGCATCAGACATGCCAGAGGATGAAGATGAGAAAGTTTACCCCAGACATGTCCAAGATCTCATAGAGTAAGTAGTGAGTTTTATATCAAGACATGTCCAAGATCTCATAGAGTAAGTAGTGAGATTTATATTAGGACATGTCCAAGATCTCATGGAGTAAGAAGTGAGTTTTATATCAAGACAAATACAAGATCACATAGAGTAAGTAGTGAGTTTTATATCAAGACAAATACAAGATCTCATAGAGTAAGTAGTGAGTTTTATATCAAGACAAATACAAGATCTCATAGAGTAAGTAGTGAGTTTTATATCAAGATAAATACAAGATCTCATAGAGTAAGTAGTGAGTTTTATATCAAGACAAATACAAGATCACATAGAGTAAGTAGTGAGATTTATATCAAGACAAATACAAGATCTCAAAGAGTAAGTAGTGAGTTTTATATCAAGATAAATACAAGATCACATAGAGTAAGTAGTGAGTTTTATATCAAGATAACTACAAGATCTCATAGAGTAAGTAGTGAGTTTTATATCAAGATAAATACAAGATCTCATAGAGTAAGTAGTGAGATTTATATCAAGACATGTCCAAGATCTCATAGAGTAAGAAGTGAGTTTTATATCAAGATAAATACAAGATCTCAAAGAGTAAGTAGTGAGTTTTATATCAAGTTTTATATCAAGAGAGTAAGTACAAGATCTCATAGAGTAAGTAGTGAGTTTTATATCAAGATAAATACAAGATCTCATAGAGTAAGTAGTGAGTTTTATATCAAGATAAATACAAGATCTCAAAGAGTAAGTAGTGAGTTTTATATCAAGATAAATACAAGATCACGTAGAGTAAGTACAAGATCTCATAGAGTAAGTACAAGATCTCATAGAGTAAGTAGTGAGTTTTATATCAAGATAAATACAAGATCTCATAGAGTAAGTAGTGAGTTTTATATCAAGATAAATACAAGATCTCATAGAGTAAGTAGTGAGTTTTATATCAAGATAAATACAAGATCTCAAAGAGTAAGTAGTGAGTTTTATATTAAGACAAATATAAGATCTCATAGAGAAAGAAGTGAGTTTTATATCAAGACAAATACAAGATCTAATAGAGTAAGTAGTGAGTTTTATATCAAGACAAATACAAGATCTAATAAGTTGTATGTTTAATATCAAGACAAATACAAGATCTCATAGAGTAAGTAGTTAGTTTTATATCAAGACAAATGCAAGATCTCATAGAGTAAGTAGTGAGATTTATATCAAGACAAATATAAGATCCTCATAGAGTAAGTAGTGAGTTTTATATCAAGACAAATACAAGATCTTATAGAGTAAGTAGTGAGTTTTATATCAAGATAAATACAAGGTCTCATAGAGTAAGTAGTGAGATTTATATCAAGACATGTCCAAGATCACATAGAATAAGTAGTGAGTTTTATATCAAGATAAATACAAGGTCTCATAGAGTAAGTAGTGAGTTTTATATCAAGATAAATACAAGGTCTCATAGAGTAAGTAGTGAGTTTTATATCAAGACATGTCCAAGATCTCATAGAGTAAATAGTGAGTTTTATATCAAGATAAATACAAGATCTCATAGAGTAAGTAGTGAGTTTTATATCAAGATAAATACAAGATCTCATAGAGTACATAGTGAGTTTTATATCCAGACATGTCCAAGATCCCAAAGAGTAAGTAGTGAGTTTTATATCAAGACAAATATAAGATCCTCATAGAGTAAGTAGTGAGTTTTATATCAAGACATATACAAGATCTCATAGAGTAAGTAGTGAGATTTATATCAAGATAAATACAAGATCACGTAGAGTAAGTAGTGAGATTTATATCAAGACAAATATAAGATCCTCATAGAGTAAGTAGTGAGTTTTATATCAAGACATATACAAGTAGTGAGTTTTATATCAAGATAAATACAAGATCTCATAGAGTAAGTAGTGAGATTTATATCAAGACAAATATAAGATCCTCATAGAGTAAGTAGTGAGTTTTATATCAAGATAAATACATGATCTCATAGAGTAAGTAGTGAGTTTTATATCAGGACATGTCCAAGATCTCATAGAGTAAGTAGTGAGTTTTATATCAAGATAAATACAAGATCTCACAGAGTGAGTAGTGAGTTTTATATCAAGACAAATACAAGATCTCATAGAGTAAGTAGTGAGTTTTATATCAAGACATGTCCAAGATCACAAAGAGTAAGTAGTGAGTTTTATATCAAGATAAATACAAGATCTCATAGAGTAAGTAGTGAGATTTATATCAGGACATGTCCAAGATCTCATAGAGTAAGAAGTGAGTTTTATATCAAGACAAATCCAAGATCTCACAGAGTAAGTAGTGAGTTTTATATCAAGATAAATACAAGATCTCATAGAGTAAGTAGTGTGTTTTATATCAAGTCAAATATAAGATCTCATAGAGTAAGTAGTGAGTTTTACATCAAGATAAATACAAGATCTCATAGAGTAAATAGTGAGATTTATATCAAGACATGTCCAAGATCTCATAGAGTAAGTAGTGAGTTTTACATCAAGATAAATACAAGATCTCATAGAGTAAGTAGTGAGTTTTATATCAAGACATGTCCAAGATCTCACAGAGTAAGTAGTGAGTTTTACATCAAGATAAATACAAGATCTCATAGAGTAAGTAGTGAGTTTTATATCAAGACAAATCCAAGATCTCACAGAGTAAGTAGTGAGTTTTATATCAAGATAAATACAAGATCTCATAGAGTAAGTAGTGTGTTTTATATCAAGTCAAATATAAGATCTCATAGAGTAAGTAGTGAGTTTTACATCAAGATAAATACAAGATCTCATAGAGTAAATAGTGAGATTTATATCAAGACATGTCCAAGATCTCATAGAGTAAGTAGTGAGTTTTACATCAAGATAAATACAAGATCTCATAGAGTAAATAGTGAGATTTATATCAAGACATGTCCAAGATCTCATAGAGTAAGTAGTGAGTTTTACATCAAGATAAATACAAGATCTCATAGAGTAAGTAGTGAGTTTTATATCAAGATAAATACAAGATCTCACAGAGTAAGTAGTGAGTTTTACATCAAGATAAATACAAGATCTCATAGAGTAAGTAGTGAGTTTTATATCAAGACAAATACAAGATCTCATAGAGTAAGTAGTGAGTTTTATATCAAGACATGTCCAAGATCTCATAGAGTAAATAGTGAGTTTTATATCAAGACATGTCCAAGATCTCATTGAGTAAGTAGTGAGTTTTAT